AGATATTCCCTTCTTCTGGATAGGAAGAACCAACACTGTGAAGATGTGTATGGCCATACTCCCAAAATTGCTGTACAGATTTAATGCAATACCTAACTAAATGCCACCAACATGCTTAATATACCTAGAGAAATAGTTCCTAAAATTAATTTGAAACTATGCAAATCTGTACAATAAAATAATAAGGAGCAGTAAAAATATAATTAATATTTACAACATAGACCTAAAATTAAAGTATCTTGCAAAAGAAACCACATACACAAATTTATACAATACTCTTCCATTTAAACAAACTTCAAAATTATGCAATCAAATTCATGATAGTAGACAAAATACTGGTTACATTTTCAGATACTGGTGGGAAACACAAGGCATCTTCAATGGTGCTGAAAATGTTTCATATCTTGGTTTACGTAGCTGATACGTACGATATATGTACCATATGTTTGCGATGTATATCTATGTCTGCAGGACAAAATCCGTGATGAACATAGATGCAAAAATTCTCAACTAGATACTAGCAAACCAAATCAGACAATACACTGAAAAGATTAATCACCACAATGACGTGGCATTCATCCCAGAGAAGCAAAGAGAGTTTAATATACACAAGTCAATAAATATGAAACAATATGTCAACAGAATCAAGGAGAAAAATAATATGATCATCTTAATTGATGCAGAAAGAAATGGAACATGTCTTCATGATAAAAGCCTTAAATTGATTAGTCACACAGTGGAAAGATCTTAACATAATTATGGCCGTTTAAAATATGCCAACACTTAACGTTATATTGCATGGGTAAAAGCAACAACCTTTCTAAGAACTGGAAGAAGATAGTAATGCCTACTTTCACTGCTTTATTTAACTTGAAGTCTTAGCCAGAGAAATTAAAAAAGAGTAAAAGCAAACAGTATCTGAATTGGAAATGAAGGCACTCGATTGTCATTGTTTGCAGATAAATTGAATATATATATATATATATATATATATATATATATATCTTCAAAAACTTCACCAAAAACTATTAGATCCTTTTTAAAATGTTTTCATGTATTTGGTACAGGGTATGCAGGGTCTGCAAGGGTCTTACTATTCGATCAGACTCGTAGTGATTCTCCTGTTCTCAGCCTCCAAAGCACTGCGATTACAGGTGTGCACAACCATGTCCAGTCTCAGTTGCCATCTCAGCGCGTCCTCGGGGCTGTGCTATCACACTGGGGATTGAGCCCTGGCCACTACGCTCTGCCCAAGCAGTCTCTTTAGTTTGCTTAACTATCTGGCCAGCCCTCGAAAACTGTTAGATCTAGTAAAAGAATTAAGCAAGATATAAATCAGTATAAAAAAATCAATACGGTGCCAGGTGTTCTGGTGCATATCTATAATCCCAGCACTTCGTAGGCTAAATCAGGAAGATTGTTGCAAATTTGAGACCAGCCTGGGTTACAAAGTGAGCTCAAGCCGAGCCTGAACTGCATAGCAGGACCCTGCCTCAAAAAGACAAAACAAATCAATATTGCTATATGTCATTAGAAAATCATTAGAAATGGAAGTCAAGAAAGTAATGACAGAGGCCAGAGAGATAGCTCAGTGGAATAAGCGCTTGCCTGGCAAGTGCGAGGGTCTGAGTTCAATCCCCGGTTCCACAAAACAAAAACAAACAAACAAAAAAAAAACCATGATAAACTGAATGGCATCACCTAAAACACTACCTAGAAAATAATTTCACTCAAAAATTTCCTGTTGAAAATAATCCGGGGCCATGGAGATGGCTCAGTAGAATAAGCGCTTCCCTGGCAAGTGCAAGGGCCTGAGTTCAATCCCCAGTTCTGAAAAAAAAAAGTAATGACACAGGCAAGCATTTATTCTACTGAGCCATAGCATAGTTATGATAAATATATAGGTACTTCCTCTTAATTCAATGAGAAGAAAGATTTGTACTAATAGTGTTTGGACAGAATATCATGTCTGCATCTTGTACTACGAATAACCACTAAGAAGACAACAACATGCAATGTATTAATTATTGAAACTGTCGTACTAATCGGTTTTGAAACTGTCTCATTGCTATTTGTTTCTCAATAAAATTAATAAGAAATTAAAAAGTAATGGCATAATAGCTACAAAAAATAAAATACCTAAACATTACTTTAACAAGTGAGATTAAAGATTTCTACAATGAAAATTAGATAACGCTGATGAAAGAAATTGAAGACACAAAAAGTAGAAAGACAGCTTATGTTCATAAATTGACAGAATCAATATTGTTGAAATATCCACAGCTACCACACAAAGAAGTTTACAGATTTAATGCAATCCCTATCCAAGTAACTATGATACCCTTTACAGAAGTGGAGAAAAAATCTGTAGAATTTATATAGAATCACTGAGTATGCAAAGCAATTTTGAGGAAAACAGAACAAACATTAAGTCTTATGAAACATAACTTCAAAATATAATACATAGTTATATTAATCAGAACAGCACTCCATTGAGATATAAACAGACATTTAGGCCAATATAACAAAATGGAAGTCCTAGTTGTGGGCATGATGAATCGATGCATCTGCAGCCATCTGATTTCTCAATTAATGTACCAAAAATACACAGTGGACAAAAGACAGTTATTCTAATAGATGGTGATGGGAAAACTCATATCAATGTTTAGAAGAATTAAACTAGATCCTTAATGGCCATCAGTTACAAAAATCAAAAAAGTGAATTAAATACTTAATTGTAGGGCCAGCCAAATAGCTCAGCGGATTAAAGCGCCTGTTTACAGGCGCTTTAATCCACTGAACTATTTGCTGGCCCTTGCCAATGACAAATATAAAACAGCAAGTAATTGCAGGTGAGGATGTACAAAACAGGACTATCATACCAACCAGCAAGCCCACGACTGGATGTATTCCCAAGTAAAATAATAGAGATATTTGCATTATCATGCCAATGAGGCATCTGAATTCTGATGTTCACAGGGACATCTACATTCTCAGATTCTAGTACCATTATTCATAATAGCCAAGAAATGGAAACCACTTAAGTGTCATCAACAGATGGTTGGATAAAGAAAATGTGGTACAGATACACATTGGAATAGTATTTAGTCATGAATAAAATATTTTGTTAAGTAAACTAGCCAGGCACAGAAAGACAAATACACATGATCTCACTCTTACATGAAATAAGATGAAAGCAATAAAAAAGTAATATAATCTCACAGAAATTAAGAAGTGTGGTTAACACACAGGGGATGGTGAGGGGAGGAGATTATGCATCGACTGTTAAGTTGCCGTTAGGAGCAAGAAGCTCTGTAGTACAACTGCACATTACAGTGATTACAAATAACAATAACCTACTATGTAGTTCAAAAGGTTGGAAAAAAGAATTTTGAAAGTTTTCACCAAAAATAATGATGAATGCTAAAAAAAAAAAAACCCAAAACGTGGGGGCTGGGGAGATAGCTCAGTAGAATAAGTGCTTGCCTGGCAAGCGCAGGATCCTGAGTTAAATCCCCAGTGCTGCAAATAAAAACAATGATAAATGTTGCTGATAATTGTGTTAAACCATACTTAATTCCAATATATATATATGATACTACATGGTACCATATTGATATCTAAAACTTTGTTTTTGTATGTTGTAAGCAAAAATATAAAAAATGAATATGGAAGAATAGTGTAACTGAGTAGAAAACCCTTGCTGAGCTTTACTACAAAGGGAAAGCAGTAATTGTACATGAAGAGAAATTGAAAAATACAGATTTTTTAAGATGGTGTATAAAGCATATTTCTATGCTACAGGGGATGATCTGATAGAAAAGGAGAAACTGGTAATGGAGTGTGAGGATAAGTTTTGAAGCAAATCCCTTGGAGAAACAAAATGGAAGAGACGCTATTGTACAAATAAAATGTCTGGCTTTATGGCCAGCCTGATAACTCATCGGACTAAAGAGCTACTTAGGCAGAGCGCAGCGGCTGGGGTTCGATCCCGAGGTGCCATGTGGGTCCCGCCCACGGGGCACCCTGAGACTGCAATTGAGACTGGGATTGGTGGTACACGTCTGTAATCCCAGTGCTTTGGGAGGCTGAAAACAGGAGAATCACTACGAGTCCAATCTATGTAGTGGAACCCTGTAGACTCTGTAGACCCTGTCCTAAATATAGAAAAATAAAAAATTAAAAAAAAAGAAAAGAAAAATGTCTGGCTTTGAATACACATGGTAACTGAAACTGTAAAGTCTTACAGGGACATAAATGCATGTAAATGAGTAAATGTGGTGGCAACAGTCTGTGAACATTCTTGTTATTACATTAATTGGTCAGCAAAGGAGAAGTGAGTATTAGTATCTTAAAATTATAACATAAATGAAGGTGTCAGTTTTCAAGAGAAGAGGAGCTTTAGGCTTAGAAGAGGTAGAAATTTGAAACAACCTACACTATACTATGCTTTTGTTCCAGAGTATAATAAAGGGAGAGAAAGGGCAAAGGAATCACAGTCTTAAGAATGGCTCTTATTGATCACAGATTTTAAGCTGGGTTAAGAGGAATGAAAGAGCGGCCGGGGAGATAGCTCAGTAGAATAAACGCTTCCCTGACAAATGCAAGGCCCGAGTTCAATCCTGGGTTACACCAAAAAAAAAAAAAAGAAAGAAAAAGAAAGATAGAAAGAAAGAAAGAAAGAAAGAAAGAAAGAAAGGAAGAAAGAAAGAAAGAAAGAAAGAAAGAAAGAAAGAATACTGAAACACTAAGGGATCATCAAATTTGGCAGGTCTTACTCAACTGGTGTTCATCAGTTTATTACAAGTAATAAATAATGATATAGAAAATAAATGATCAGAAAGTGTGATTCATGAAATCAAAATTATAGAAGGGAATATTATCGTTCATGAAATGGTCTTGAGGTATAAACATGGGAGTGACTGAGGCAGAATGAAAGAGGAGTATAGGGGATTTTGCTGAGGATTTCAAAAATGAATGAGTATATTTGGTGATCAAACCTTTCAGTCCTTGTTCTCCTTGGAGACCTTTATCGCCTGGAGTTCCTGGGGGACCTGGCGGACCTGGTTTACATATCTCATCACCTGGGATTAGATAAAGAAAAGAGAGCTAATTGTAACATATCCAAAAGACTAAGCCTAAGGAAACATAACAAGCTAGAAAAAAATCTATTTTTAATTTATTTTCTGCAGATATATAACTACATGTAAGTGAAAGGATGATATAATACTGTTAGTAACAATCATTATTGGAGGAGCAAGTTTAAAAATCAAAGAATTACCAAAATCAAAATGTGGAAGCAACAATAGAAAATGTCAGAAAAGAGAGACATAAATAATGATGCTAATTTTCAGGTGCATTTACTTATTAGTGCAATAAACAAAAACAATACAATTTACCAAGAGTAAAATGCAGCTTACTAGGAGGGCTGGGAGGGCCAGAAGGGCCAGGAGGGCCTGGAAGCCCAGGAGGTCCAGGCTGTCCATCAAGTCCAGGAGAGCCAGGAATAGAAATGCCCGGTGGCCCTTCATCACCTTTCTGGCCTCTTTCTCCAGGAAATCCAGGGGGCCCAGGAGGACCCATAACTGCAGTCCCTAAGATAAGAAAAAAAGGACTCATTCAAAATTATCAAAATGATCTTTTAGAAATACTACTTTCGTTTTCAATAAGATATTTAGTACTGAAAAGACATTCCTTGTTGACTATTTTCTATTTTTTTTCTTACGAGAATCAACATCTGAAAGGAAGAAAAATTTAAAATAAATAAAAATTTGAGTGTAGTAAAAATAATTTGAGATAGTTTTATTACTTTGGTAAATTATTATTAAAAATTCTATACACTACCTTTAACACTATGATCTACAAATCCCAGAAATACAAATTTATTTGTAATTGAAGAGTTATTTGACAGTTTCCGTATAAACATGGCTTAGTTTCTAGACAATTTTTAGTCCCACTGTCAATTCCTGTATCATTACCATATTTTTCAGCCACTAGTGTCATGTTTTAAAAACTGGTAAGGAAATTACACACATCTTTGCTCATTTTTAAAACAATCTTTACTATAAATACACATTTACTCTTCAAAATTGTTAGAATCAGCTTGTCTGGTTCTCTTTTAAAAACCCACTGGAATTTGGAATGTGACTAATTTGAACATAATGTTTGGTAGAATCAACTATTTCTAATATTGATTTCTTACATGACATAATAGGATACATATCTCTATATTTGGGAATTTTATATTATTTAATATCTTAGAAAATTATGAAAAGATGCATACAGATTTTTGGCTGGATTTATTCATGGGTTTGTTTTTATTACTACTGTGAATTCCTATGTCTCTACTGACTTGTTCTCTTGTATACTGTTAAGTTGTCATTTATAGTAATTTTGAACCAATCTTGCAAATTGTGTTAAAACTTACTTGGTCATAATGCCCTATTGTTTAATATATTTATACATTGCTCTTATTAATATTTAAGATTATCATTTCAATGTTCATAAATGAGATTCAACTATACTGTTTTGTGATGTTACTTCTTGGGTGGTTTGATTTCAACATTACTAAGTTAGGTTGCCTCTTTTTTAAAATGTTCTGAAATGACTGAAAATATGCTACTTATCCATTTTTTGACAGTATGGTAAAATTCATCCATAAAACTATAAGGTTATCCACAGATCCAATGTTTTTTCTTGGAAATTTTTAACATTTGGTAATTGATCCTCTTAGGTTTCTTATCTTCTTAAGTTAATTTTAAAAATTTATGTTTATGAGGAATTTATATTTTATCTGGAATTTCAAATATGTTAATATAGTTATATTTTTCTTATAACTTGATTTTTAATTTTAATAATGTTAATATCCCTTTTGTTTTCCTAAAATTATTCTGTATGTGTGCATCTCTGTCTCTCTCTGTCTCTTTCTCTCTCTCTCTGTAATGGAGGTTGAACTTAGGCACAACGTATCATTGACCTACACCCACATCCCTTTTAAATTGTTTGCTTTAAGACAATTTTTTAATAGCCAATTGGCTTCAAACTTATGACCTTCCTGCCTCCATCTCTTGAGTAGCTGGGACCACAGGAACATAGTACCTTGTGCAGCCTTCTATTGTTTTTATCTTGATTATGTTGGTCAAATTCTACTCATTTCAAAATCTTCCCAATACCATCTTCATTTTCTCTATTGAACATAAATTGCTTTACTGTTTTGCATTTTCTCTCTTTATCAAGTTTTCCATTATACTGTTTTGGACTTGTTTCAGTGTGTGTGTGTGTGTGTGTGTGTGTGTGTGTGTGTTACAACTAGCTTATTTACTTTTTCAGGTGCTAGGATAGAACCCAAGGCCTTGTGCATGCTTCCCTACCATTTAGCTACCACTCCAAATCCTCATTTATTTTTAGCATTTTTAGTTTTGTGAGAAATTAAGGATGCTGCTTTAGGTATATTCAGTGAATTTTTATATGAAGAGCTTTCACTGTTGTTTAGTATGCAACAGCTTGTCATTTCTATTTATTTCCTTGTTACCTTTATAACTAATTCTTAAATATACAAATATAAAATATTTGGCTTTTTCATTGTCATATTATCAATTTATTTCATTGTAGTAACAGAAAGTAACATATATTATATTTTTCTATCTAATTGCATCAATTTCTGTAAACATTTTAATTATGTTTGAGAAGAATGTATGTGTTTTATTTCTAACAGATTCTCTCTCCCATGCAGATGGCTTGATTTTATTGCTCAACTTATTTGTGCCCTTATTTTTCTCTTGCTTAATATGGTAGGTAGTTGCCAACTTAACCCATGTAGTTTATCAGTTTTCACTTTATATATTCAAAGGTAATTGTCAGGTGCACAGAATTTCATCATATTTATATCACTTGGCATAGTTTATCTATTTATCCTTTTGAAATACTTATCTCTTAAGTGTACCTTCATTAAATTCTATTTCATACAATATTAGAATTGCTAAGCCAGTTTTGTTTGTGTGTCATTTGCATAATAGATCTTCGTATTGTTTAATTTTCAATTTTTCTCTTTATCTGCTTTAGATATATGTGTTGTGCAATATATAATCTTAGTGTCATTCAATTGGTGCTTGAATTTTTTTAAAGCTATTATTTGGTTTTTTTAAAATAATTTTATTGAGAGGGCCTGGGGAGATAGCTCAGTGGAATAAGCACTTCCCTGGCAAGTGCAAGGGCCTGAGTTCAATCCACAGTTATGCCAAAAATAATAATAATAATAATAATAATAATAATAATAATAATTTTATTGAGGAACAAATAGCAAAGAGACAGTTTCTTTTCCTTTTTCTTTCTTTCTTTCTTTCTTTTTTTTTTTTTTTTTTGTTTTGTGGATCTGGGGATTGAACTCAGGCCCTTGTGCTTGCCAGGGAAGCACTTATTCCACTGAGCCATCTCCTCAGTGCCACAAGAGACAATGTCATATTTCTTCTTGTCCCTTTTGCTCTTTAAATTCCATCATGGTGCATTCAAAAGCTTGTATGTTTAGTTTTACATATCAATTTTTCTTTCACATTTCTCAAATGCTTAACTTTTTATGTTATACTTGAAGGATTCCTTATTTCAGTCTTCTAGTACATATCTGATCTACCATTTTGAGATTAAAAATTCAAAATGCATACTTAGATCATGAAGAACATACATTCCTTATCTTTTTCTGAAGGATTACTGAGTGTTACTCATCATCTAACATTTTATTTACCATATATCTTTGAAGGGAAAGGAACCATAATTTATTGAGTATACATGTATATAAGAAAGTGTAACAGATGCTTTTATAAATTTTACATACATTCCAAATAGAAGTGCATTTCAGAGAGAGTTCATCTAAATAAACATGTTAGACGTAAGCAGTCCTCAATTTGTAGTGAGATTAGGAATATTGCACTATGCTATGCATCCTCAAAGAGGATGCTATAAAATTCTGCATCGAGTTCTAAGATATCACTGCATAGCAAAATCACCATGGAGATTTCTACTTAGATGGTTCTAGAATTCTAATTCTCCTTTTTTAAGTATAGGAAATCCTGCAAAAGAAGGCATTAGCATTCCCTTCCTTAATAATATGAAAAGTGTGATGATTCATGTACTGGGGTGTATCACTGTTTTGGAATAATTTAGTAGTATGAAAAATTAGAGATGATATTCTTAGGATGAAAGGACACTATGTAAATGGATTTTTAAAAAAACAAAAGTGAGGAATTGGGTGAAAAAGGATATAGTACAAGTGGGGAAGAATATGCAATTGAAAGTAATTCTGTCATTTGCTGTCATTCTCATCCTGGAACTAGTATTAAAACATATATACATAGATTATTATTGATACTCTAAGAGCAAAGCAAATGCAGTCTTTTACCTGGCAGACCAGGAAGGCCAGGTGGGCCTTGAATTCCAGGAAATCCTCGCTCTCCTTTTTCTCCAGGTAATCCAGGTAATCCAATATTTCCTTTTTCTCCTACAGTAACACCAGTCCCAGGTCTAGGAATTACCTTTATCATGAATGAAATAAAATAACGAAACTCAAAAAGGAAGACTCTTGTTTTCCTACAAATTATATGGCAGCTACATATGACTATAATTCCCCATTTTACAAAGTATTCAGATAAAAAGTCACAGACTATGACATGGATTGAATTACATTCCTTGCCTGTTTTATCCTCCAATTAATTTAGGAAATGACTGATACTAGAAACAATATTGTCACCTTCCCTAACCCCAGGCTTATAAAGTTGGTAGTATTCTTCCTGATCTGTTCTTATAAGATATTTAAATCATTCCAGTACTCTAAAGTTTGACAATTATTTGACCAAAAATGTCCTTTTGATGTTCCCTTTTTGTTCCTTTTGTGACAGCTACTATCCCCACTTCACTTGGACTAACAGATGCACTTTTAACCTTGTTCTTTTGAATCCAAATATACTGCTAAGACATGATACCTCAAAACCCAACTTTTCTGAGTTAAGTACTCTGCTTAAGTATTTCTTACTACATCTGATGCTACTTATAATGCCGGACTCTTTCAGGCCCTTTCATTTCCAATTCTTCTCAACATAATGTCTTATTATTTCTGGCAATACATTTTTACCAATGTGAATTATTTATGGCAGAATCATTTCATGCAACTTATGCATATTTATCTCTACCTCTGCATATGTCATTCCAAATATCTACAAAGGTTTCTCTCAGGTTTTTGCTATGTTAGCTCATGTGTTTATTTCCTTTGCAAAATTTATTTTTGACACAAAGATTATACTGCTTAAACCCAATCAACTTATCATATCCTTTCCCTATGTCTTTTTTTGTTGTTGTTGTTGTTTTTGTTTTTGGTACTGGAGATTGAACTCAGGAAACTGAGCTTGCCAGGCAGGCACTTATACTGCTGAACTACCTCCCCAGACCTTCGTATGTCTTCTTAGATTTAAAGATGTAAGTTAATTATAAAAATTTTTATATGAAATAAACTATTTAAAATTAATCTCAAGCAGGGGGGATAGCTCAGCAGCATAAGCACCTGCTTGGCATCAGCACTGTCCCATATCCAATCCCTGGTACAGCAAAATAAATAAGTAAATAAATAAAATTAATCCCATAGACCTATAAAAGTAAATAAACTTCAGGTTTAATAAATTGTCTGTCTGAAGTAAAAATCAACATGTACCACAAAACCTTGATATTTCATCTTACTTCCACTGGATATATATATATATATTCTTTCAGAACCAGGGGTTGAATTCAGGCCCTTGCACTTGCTAGGCAAGCACTTATTCTACTGAGCCATCTCTCAGACCCTAGATATAAAAATATTAACACGTAAGGAGAATAAATATTGTATGACTCAGAATTGAGACAGCAGTTCAAAAGTGACTGTGAGATTCTGAAGAGGACTTAATTTTCAAAATTTCTATTAATTCTGATACTTGTCAAAATTTTATTACCTCATTTTCTAAACAGATAATATTTTCAAGAACTGAAATTCTGATTTTAAAGTGAAAGAGAATAAGAATTGTGTAAGACCTTAGTTATATCCTCATTAGATTTAGTATAGCTCTAAGTGTTAGTAAGTGAGACATACTATGGACAAAGCAATTAATGGTACTAGAATGTCTGGACATACATATTAATTTTTGTGGCACCCGTTTGCTAAGGCATAGTCTAAAGTCTAGAATCTTACCAAATTTAAATCAAAGAAAAAAACAATGTCAAACCCCAGCAATGACATTTTACTTTTAATAAGATTGGTAATATATTAAATCACATTTCATGGAGAATTCAAACATCATAAAAAGAATTGCCTATATTTATTATTGAATCCCTAGAAAGCATGCACTCAAGAAAGAAGAAAGTATAAGTCAGATAATTACAAATTGAGAAAATCTATTAGGACTAAGTCTATCCAAATCTATCTTTGTCCTGTGCTCTGCAGAGGGTGAGACTACTCCTCCCCAGGTGTTTCGTTTTCTTTTCTTTTCTTTTTTTTTTTTTTAAATTAAACCTTTGTAAACTATACTTGCACCACCTGCTGGTTGTTTGAGAAAAGATGTGGCAATCACAATGCAAAATAATGTAGTGCCATTGTTTTGGATCTTTACTGTGGAGAAGTAATAAACAGAAAGGACCTTATAAAGACCCTGAAGTCAACACTAATGAAATTTTTAGATGTAAATATTGCTAAGCAGGGGGAATTTGTAATAACTTGAACTTTTTGTTCTGTGCAAAAAAGTAGGCAATACATAATTAAGGGACAAGAATAATAATGCAACATTCAATTTGATAAATGAAGACTCAAAAAAAAAAAAAGGAAGAAATAAAGAAAGACAAAAAAAAGCCCACTCACCAGTCCAGGAGGCCCAGGTGGCCCAATGTCGCCTTTTTGGCCCTGTTCAATACAATTGTAAGTGTTAGATTAAAAAAATAACATGAAAACATTAATTTTTTTCAAGAGTGTGACAGAAAAGTTTCATAGAAAGATTTAGAAATCACTATTATACCAATAATAAATACAAGATGAGGGAATAAAACAGTGCTGTGCTAGACCTAGGAAGATCTGTGATACTGACTCATGTTTAGTAGCTATATAATCTTGACTAAATAAGTTAAATTAAATTCTCTGGTTTATACACAAGGAGCAAAGGTTTAGGATCAGACATATAGCTGTAACATTTTTTGATTTTAGAATTTATATTTTTCTGTAAATACTCCATAAAGAAAAAAATTAGTGAAGAGCATAAGTCTAATGCTATTTCTATTACTGATAGATATTTTAGAGGTAATAAGCTTATCAACAGAACAGCTAATAAATTGTGATTCCTTCTATGAGTTAGTTATTAGAAGCTAACAAAAAACAAAGTCATATAAAAATCCTTAAATAGTAGCTTTAACAGCAAGAAGAATGCCATATTCAATAGATGCTCAGCTGGCTAAGATCCAAGTATAGATGTTTCTCTGACACTTCTACTCTGGTTCTAGACTTGTTCATGGAAACTTTTCATCTACATACTTCTCCTTTTAAATAATTGTCTGCTGTGTAATATTTGTATTCCTTAAAAAGATCCTCTATGGCTCTCTGTATCTAACCAGACATTTTATATCAAACAAAAACTTGGATCTAGTTTAATAAACCACAATGAAAATGTATGCTCTCTGGGTATATACAAGTTTGCAATATTTTTTCTTCTTGCCTGAAAAGTAAAGATTTTCATTTTGGTTTTGATACAAGGCAATTAGAGACCAGAGGGCTTGAAGGACTTGATATTGTGTGATGTGCTAAAAATGAGATGACTGTATTCCATACATTGTTTCAAAATCACTTTTAAAATAGGAAACAAAATGATCTTAGAAAAACAATGATAAACAATTATCAACAGACTTACAGACAATAATTGCACACAAAATATAAATGTTTAGAAGAGATATACTAAATTCCCAGTTACAAGTCTCTCTAAGAAGAGGACTTTACTAATACAGTGCTTTATCTTCTTTCTGGGAAACAAATGCTTTACCAAAACATGCACAAACAAAGGCGATGAACTCACAATGGAAGAGAAATTGTTAAACAGTGTTTCCTGTGTTTCCACTGAATGAACTGGGATTTACAGAAATGGAAGAAAATTTAAGGGAGGGAGCATAAAGAGAAAGGATGTACAAAGAAAGCATGTTTTAAATAAAAAAGTTAATTTTATAAGGTATTTTAGTTGTATCTCTACCATGGATGAGAGAAAAGGAAGATATCAAGTAGACCAAAACTAAGTACTTCAAAGTATCAAAATGCTTACCTTTTCACCATCCCTTCCTGGTTCACCAGGGTAACCGGGATCACCAGGTAAACCCTTTTTAAAGCAAGAGGACAGGGTAATACCAGCATAAGTGACAGAGGAAGTACTTTAAAAAAATCCTTTCCCTGCATTACAGAAGCGATAGTTACACTTTTAGAATAGTCCATTAAAATCAGATTTTTTTGTTATTTTAATTTTTTTTAGGTTTTCTCAAAAGTTTACTAAATCAAACAAACAAAATCATACCAATTATTTCAAAGAACTACAGACATATGCATCTCTGAGATGGAAGGCAGGAACATAGTAACTTCAAATAATTCATTTTAATTCTTTTTTTAAAGAATCACACACACACATGCACACACACACATACACACACACACACAATCTCTATCTCTATATACCTCAATAACATCCAAAATCTTTTTTTTTTTGCAGTTATAAAAGTTTCCATCAATCTAAGGAGCACAATATTTATTTTGCTTAAGGTTAATTCATGGTAAGAACACAGACTTCTATGGCCTTTTCATTTGTTATATTGCTATACCTGTCCCCTCAGTTCTACAGTAGCCTAGACAACAAATAGTTCACAATTAAGGTAGAAACCAGCAACCTAGCAGCAACTGTAGGACAAAGAACAGGATTGGAGATAATTTCAAGGTTCATTCCTGCAGAAATGTCATTATTTGAACTATCTGGCAATTTGAAAGAAGAACCAACTTGCAAAGCTATCAGTATTTGTCTTACTTGGCTCTCCCAATGTAGAGAGCAACCACGACCCTGGAGAGTGAGGGAAAACAATCAGAGGCCATAGTTGCATATCATGGCTGCTTTAATCACAAAACAAAGGCCAGTTGTTCCAAAAAAAGCCTAGCTGGAAAATACAGAAGTTTAGGAGTGGGGCTCTATATATGCTTTAATCTTTTTATGAACTAGATTTTGTAGGTTGAGGATTTCCTGTTTATTTAAAATTATCTTGAAATTTAATGATTTCAGTATTTCTAACCTTCCCTTTTGTTAAGAAATCTCTCCTTCAAATGGCCTTCAAATTTCATTAATTTTGTATCTGTCGTTGAAAACCTTTTAAAAGTCTACTGATAAAACTTATGTTCACATATGAAAAGACTGCATGTTAATGTTATAGTTTTATTTCTAAGTATTCATAACTCAGAAACAAACAAAGTATACTTCAGTGGATAAATGAATAAACAAACTTTGCTGCATCCAAACACTACTCAGCAATAAAAAGAAAAAATCTACTGATACACCGTACAATATATTATTGTACATCAAAAATTATGGTTTAAAAGGATACATGCAATAAGCTTCTACTTTTACAACCTTCTAAAATGGGTTAAGTTTTAGGGATGGAAACCAAATCAGTTGTTGCCATAAGATCAGTATGAGGGACTAAGGGGGCAAATGATAAATCAAAGAAAGGAGGGACATTGGGAGAGTGGTGAAGTTTGTAATTATGGAGGTGTTTACACCTTGACATTTAACAAAACATATAAATATACACTAAAAGTCCAGGAACACAGTGCAGTGGTACAGCGCCTGCCTGGAAAATGTAAGATCCTGACTTAAATTGATGGTACAAAAACAGAGAGAGAGAGAGAGAGAGAGAGAGAGAGAGAGAGAGAGAGAGAGAGAGAGAGAGAGAGAGAGAGAGAGAGAGAGAGAGAATAAAACTAAAAATTGTTTTTTCTGGTTTTTATTTGTTTTTTTCCATAATTTTATTGAGAAACAAATAGCAATGAGACACTTTCAAATCAAATTGGTAAGACAGTTTCAATAATTAATACATTGCATACTCTCTTCCTAGTGGCTATTTGCTGTACATGATGCAGACATGATATCCTATTTACAAACACCATTAGAACAAATCCCTCTATTCATTAAGAAAATATAACTCTATATCTATCCTAACCATTTTGAATACACAGATACAAAATGGACATCCATCTGTATCCCCCTTTTTGTTTAGTTCTGTCATTTGAATATTATAGGTGTGTTAACTCAGCAAAATATTCTAAAAGTGTCCAGTAGTCCATAATAGTATTGGGTCTTCCTCTTCACTGGCAGTGTCAGAAATTGTTGACCTGAGTCCCCTACAGCTTAACATAACACCATGGCTTTACTTCTTATAAAATGTCAACACATATGACTTTAAGACAGAATTATCTCAAATTTATTTCTTTTGAAAACTTAAAAATTCCTTAATTTTTTATTCCCGGTACCACTACCACAATTTACAGGGTTGTATACCTGATGTAATGAAAAGAAAGAAAAAAACAAAGCTACAACAGATAAAAGACCTCAGGAATGTACATCTAATTGACACTACGTTGCATTAATCAACAGCTGCACTTTTTGCAAGCTGTGGCTCTGAGTCCTGAACCAGAAGGTTTTCCTGTTTAAGCTGCAGTAACTTTTCTGACTGTGGATCATCGTTCCTTCTGTGGCAGATTTTTACAGTTCCTCTAATGCATTTGGGA